TTTATAATAATGTAATACATTAATTTAATTTTAGTAGTAAAATTTGTACTTAATGTTTCTTTTTTTTTTACTGCATAATACAGCAGTTATTCACATTAACATTCTGAAATAACTTATGCTACATACATCTGATTAATATTTTATTCTTATTTGTATTTCCATAAAAGGGTGCAGTAGCTACGACTCTTACACAACCTTTGGATGTTTTAAAAACACGAGCAATGAATGCTAAACCTGGAGAGTTTAAGGTAACTTTTATAATAAAATTGAATTAACAACACAACATTAATGCATTGAATATTCATTTACTTATTTAACCTTTTATAGAATTTAATGCATCTATTTTTGTATACTGGTAAACTTGGACCACTAGCATTTTTTAAAGTAAGTTTCTTTATTTACTACTTTATTTTTCTTCTATTTTATAATACTCCGACAGTGAGGAAATCATGATTTGGATAAACACATTTGAATTAAATTCAATCTTGGAAAAGAAATCTTAGAATATGGCTGGTTTTTTTTTTAATTGATAGTTTTAATTGATAGTTTAGAGAATGATATATTTAAAGCATTTGTCCATGTATATTTGTTATTAAAATTTGTGTTATGCATGAAATAGTTTGCTACTTCCTTTCTTAATTTATAGTTTTTCTTTTTCAATTATAATTCATAGATTGTACAATAGTTATTACGTTATTTTTATTGAATATATTGACTTAGCTGAATTATGAATACCAAAAATGTAGAAGACTTTTATGTAAATAGCTGTCTCTGTATGTTCTATTCAAATGTGCTTATTTTTGTAATGATTTTTCCTGTCGAGGTAAACTATTATAAAATGAACATGTAAGTACACTATCTGGAAAATATATTGAGTATTTTATTTTAGGGCTATGTACCTGCTTTTATCAGATTAGCTCCACAAACTATTCTTACTTTTGTTTTTTTGGAACAATTAAAATCGAATTTTGGATTCTATCCTCCTAATGTTCCAAAATCATGAAATTCAACTAACTCTCTTGAATGTAGAAGCATGTAATATACATCTAGGATATTTTGGACAATGTGAATTTAACATATGAAACTAACAAAACAAAACAAAAATGTACAAACGTTTGTTCTACTTAACACTTGTAACTATTTGTTTTACTCAATTCCTTTTTAATTTATTTGTTGCATCTATATATTCATAAATAATATGTCACATTATCCCATGTATAATATTCCTATTTCTAGTAATTTTGATAATAATTTATTTTTCCATTTTTTTGGTAAAAACAATATACATTGTAAATTTTTAATAGGATAAAACAAATTCAGATAGGACAAATATTATTTTTGTACGTGGAATTCATTGTTAAATGTATTTCCACGATATATGAAATATTTTTTATAAATATCTTATA